AGACCAGTTTTTCTCCCTGTAGCAGTAGTGCACACCTGTAATCCCAGCACTCAAGAGGCTGAGGAAGGAGAATCGATGCAAGTTCAAGACCACTCTGGGCTACAAAGTGAGCTCAAGGCCAGCCTGAACTGTATAGTGAGACCCTGTCTCAAAAAGACAAGACAAGGGGCTGGTGAGATGGCTCAGTGGTCTAAAGTACCTACTTAGAACAAGCTTAGCAAAGCACAGGGACCACGGTTCAATCCCCCAGCAACACATGCCAGCCAGCCCTGTCCCCTGGTGCGCTGAGCTGGCCACACACACACATAACTAACTAACTAACTAACTAACTAACTAAATAAATAAATAAATAAAATTAAAAAAAAAAGACAAGACAAGACAAGAAAACAAAACAGGAGCTAGGCATGGTGGCAGGAGGACAGCTGCAAGTTTGAACCCACTAAGTACAACACAGCCTGAACTATATAGCAAGACCTTGTCACACACACAAAAAAGGAAAGAAACGGAAGAGAGGAGACCAATAGAGAACAAGAAAATGGTAGACTTAAACCTATCAATAACCTAACCATATCAATAATCATATTATGTGTAATAATCTAAATACTTCAATTAAAAGAACCATATAACTTTTTTAAATTTTTTTTTATTTTACTGAGGAACAAATACCAATGAGACACTTTCCAAGCTGATTAATAGGACATTTTCAATAATTAATACATGGCACATTGTTATCTTCTCAGCGGTCATCCACAGCACAAGAAGCAGCCAGCACATCCCATCCAAACACTTCTACTACAAGTCCTTCCTCTCACTGAACCAAGCAAAAGCAGCTGTACATCTATCCTAATTATTCTGTATATACAAATACAAAATGGTCCTTCCTCTGTGTTCCCCCTCTCCAGGTCAGTCCTGTCAGAGATGGGTATTCTATTGGCATCTAAATATTATAGGTGCTTGAATTCAACAAAACAATTCAACACAGTCCAGTAGTCCACAATAGTAGTGGACTACTGGAAGTAGTTGCAGAAGTCTGCAGAAGTTGTTGACTAGAGCCTTTTATAGCTCAGCATATTAATATGGCTTTACTTTATATCCCCTAAGGATTTATTCTGCAACCCTGTACTGCACTTTGTAGATCCTTTGTCAGTGTCAGGCATATGGATGAGTCATGGCCATTGCTTGACCAATTTGCTCTCTGTGAAGGCCTGAGAGAAAGTTTTCTCTCCATGTGACTCTCCTTAGGCATACTATACATCATTGATCACATTCCTCTGTGGCTCCATAATCTCCTTGATCAGAAAATTTGGAGCACAACTGAGTTAAACATGATGTAACAGTATGGGTTCTCCTATGTCCCGAGTCTTCACTGACCTTGAAAG